CTGACTAGGCAACTGCCGAGCAGTATTTTTTTGCGTTAGTGTTTACCTCTTAACATTAACCTGAACGGCCACTTTTCAGCTTCATTCGTACAAACCTACATTTATTCCAAACTAATGCAATACAAAACCCAACTGAAAGAGGTGAGAAAGGAACCAAGAATGCTATCATTATTAGGGCTACAAGTCATGTGAAAACTATTTATCCGTAACTTAAAGGTAACTGTTAGTCTGAGAAAACGGCCAACATTTCGCGACACCACCACTGGTTTTCCCGCGAGTTGACCTCTTAGGAACGATCCGGGTAGTGCTTCTGATTGGCTGAGCAAATTTCCCTCACGGCACGACAAATCAGAAGCACTACTCAGATCTGGGTAGTGAAAGGTCATCAGTATGAAATTTCTGTGTTTTTTCCTCAGAAGTCTTTTAGCGGGGAAACCAAAGGTAGCGTCGCGAAACGTAGGCTGTTTTCTCACGCTATCAGTTGTTAACTTCAAGTTACAGATAAATACTTTGTTTTCTCAAGCTGATTTAATACTGTCCACTTACCAGGCTCATCCTCAACTCAGGTAAATTAAGGCATGGGCCTCAATTTGCCTTAATTTGCTCTGTTCAAAAGTGAGGGGGTGGTCTATATCTAAGAGCTTTAGATGAAGAGACATAAAACTTTGCCAGCTACCCACATTTTTAGTCTGTGTCAATTTCGTGCTTTAAAACTATGCAAATTAGGTCACGTGACCTCCATCGGCTGAAAAAGCTTGTTCTTGAAACGGCAACACTTTTTCGTGTGTCCCCAATTATTTTACCGGTTGCATAATGTTAAGACCTTTTAATATATCACTTCTGTGCTTGGCCTTTTTTAGATATATAAAATCGAAGGCATTGAGATGGGATACAATTGCTTTGCGGGACTGGGTCTAGTTGAAAAAGCCGTTTATGTTCTAAAACAGTAAAAAATTCAAAAAAGGCCAAGCACAGTTTTGTAGATGCTTGCATTACACATTGTCCTAAACCAGTCCAGTTTAATAACTCACAACAAAAAGTGTTGCCATTTTTGGTTAAAGACTTTTTATTGTTTTCTGGCCGTGTGGAGTCACGTGACTACATTTGCATAATTGAAAATCACCTAATTGACAGAAACCACACATGTATGTATTTGGCAAAGTCTCATCCTTTTACTGCTTAAGTGCTCAGAGATAGACCACCCCCCATCACTTTTTGACTAAATCATTGGGGACCCATGCCTTAATTTACCTGAGAAGGCAGATAGGTCTAGATTTGGACTTTGTAGAAGAGCGCCTTTATTTTTGTGTTCTAGGCGGTCCTGGAGGCCTTGGGATTTGGTGATGCTCCTCTGAGCGAAGGTGTCTTCCCCAATATTATCATAAAATGGCAAAATTTAGGGTGTATAAGTAAAACATGATTTTAAAACTTGGGACAATACCCCAACTGAAAAAACCCACTTGAAATTTTACAAGCGTTACCTAGAAATAAGCAATAAAGCTTGAAATGTTGCAAGTAGAAGTGAATAGGGACGATCCCCTTAATTATTAACATTACAAAAAACTCCTTTATTACATATTGTATCTTCTGCGTAAAAACGAGGACACTATTGTTAAACAAGCCTTTCGTACCTCGCTAGAACTTCACTGTAATGGTAAAAATAGCTTTTACCATAATCTTATGAAAATATCTGAATATTATGACCTTCCCGATTTTGATCCTAATAATTCAAGTGAAGCTAAGATCAAACACTATATAGATATAATAAAACGACAAAAATATATTATACACTTAATGTCAGATCCCGAGGGAAACAGTTAGTTTTGTTTTCCCAAGAGTCCTGATGCAGCACCCACTTTCAAAAAAACAGTTTTTGTTTGCAACACCTCAGGTTAGGCAGGTTGCGAAAATTTGTTGCAGAAAGCGTCTGTAGAGAGTAGTTCTACTTTTTGGAACAAAATCTGTACATGATGCGCGTTTTACCGGCCCAAGGAAAACTTGTTGTGCAGTTAGTAGTAACTCTCGTGTATGGCGTGACTCCCGCGTAATTTGATCCAATAAGAAGTCAGTATTCACGCAACTTGCAACGACCTGATCTTTTCCAAGACAGGTTCTATTCGTGGTTCCCAGGTCGAGGAACACATATCACTAGGGATGTGTGTTTCCCAAGCAGGGGAAAACATATCACTAAGGGTATGTGTTTCCCAGGTAGGGGAACACATATCACTGGGTATATGTGTTTCCCAGGCAGGGGAACACATATCACTAGGGATATGTGTCTTCTAGGTAGGGGTAAGCATATCACTAGGGATATGTGTTTCGCAGGTAGGGGAACACATATCACTGGGGATATGTGTTTCCCAGGTAAGGGAACACAAATCACTAGGCATATGTGTTTTCCAGGTGGGGGAAAACAGATCACTAGGGATATGTGTTTGCCAGGTAGGGGAACACATAGCACTAGGGATATGTGTTTCACAGGTGGGGGAACGCATATCACTAGGGATATGTGTTTTCCGGGTAGGATATGTGTTTCCCAGGTAGGGGAACACATCACGCCATAATTCAGAGCATCGTAACACTCATCCACGCGGGATGTTGGGATAACACGAGAAAAGCTTGTAAATCACGAGCCGAAGTGATTTACAAGCTTTTCTCGTGTTATCCCAACATCCCGCGAGGGTTATCACGCCAGTAAACCCATTGAAAGGGTGGTCTATTGCTTTTATTTTTTCTTAAATTAGCTTTAACTAAAACAGAGTGTTACAGGCAGAAAAATGTGGTTTTAATTCCGTGATCAAGTCGTGTGTTCTCCTTAAAATC